GCCAAACTGCTTATTCCAGGTGACAGCAAAAGCTGGGACTGGGCAACAGTGAGCCGTTATCCGTGCTTCACAGTGTATCTTGTGAGTCAGTGCAGTGATTGACGCTGAGCCGCTTCAGACTAGGGATGTGGTTATGGACACTGATCATTTCTTTCTCATGAGTTTTGGACAAACTGCATATATGGCTTGGAGATGAGTGGGGTTCTCTCCTCCTTTTTTGTTATTGGTTCACTTTGGCAAAAAGACAGCAACTTAGTGACTGCAAAACAATGGTATAGAAGGCATATGCCAGAAAAAGAACAAATTTGCAATTGCGTAGTGTAAGATATTAAAAATTAGCAAAGTTTTTAAAATGTGATAATACCCAGCATAATTGAGGTTTAGACAAAAAAAACATTCTTTTTTTTTTTCCTTTTAAATACCGTATGATTTTTGTAAAATTTTTCTATTATAGTTTACTTTTAGTATTATTTTGTATTGGTTTCAGGTGTACAGCATAGTGATTAGACCACCACATACTTTACAAAGTGTCCCCCCTGATATTTCTAGTGCCCACCCAGCACCATACATAGTTGTTACAATGTTACTGACTCTGTCCCCTGTGCTGCATTTATATCCCTGTGACTATTCTGTAGCTACCAACCTGTACTTCTTAATCCCTTCACCTCTTTCACCCAAACCCCACCTGCCTCCCCTCCGGCAATCCCCAGTCCAGTTTCTGTGTCTATGAGTCTATTTCAATTTCATTGTTCATTCATTTTGTTCGAAAAGAGCATTCTTATACATTTGTAATGGATGTCTTCAGTAATAGCCTTAAATAATATGTTCATGATTTTGTGTCCATAATGTCACTTCTCTTAATTTATCTTGAAGAAATCATCAGAGAGGCCCACAAAAATACTCATCCCTAGTACATCTTAAATGTTCAACATCTGGAGCAATAGCTACACAATTCAACTGTAACTATACAATAGACTGCTGTGCATAAAAATCACATTCCATTTAGTGATGCTGAGCGTCTTTTCATGTATCTATGTCGTCATTGGAAAAATGTCTCTTCATGTCCTCTGCTCATTTTTCAATTGCATTATTTCTTTTTCTGTTATCAGTTGTATACATTCTTTGTATATTCTGGATGTCAACCCCTTATCAGATATATTATTTGTGAATATATTCTCCCATTCAGTAGGTTTCCTTTTTGTTTAATTGAAGTTTTCCTTCACTGTGCAGAGGTTTTTAGTTTGATGTAGTCTTATTTATCTTTGCTTTTGTTTTCCTTTCCCAAAGGAATATATCCAAAGAAATATTACTCAGACTGATGTCAAATGGTTTATTTCCTATGTTTTCTTCTAAGAGTCTTATGGTTTCAGGCCTTATATTTAAGTCTCTAACCCATTATTTTTGTATATGGTATAATAGAGTGGTCCAGTTTCATTTTTTTTGCATGTATCTGTCCAGTTTTCCCAACATCACTTGTTATAAAGACTGTCATTACTCCAATGTATATTTTTACCTTCTTTGCCATATGTCAGTTGATGGTGTGAGGGTTTATTTCTGGATCTCTATACTGTTCCATTGATGTATGTGTCTATTGTTGTGGCAGCACCATACTGTTTTGATTAATATAGCTTTATAGTATAGTTTGAGATCAGGGAGCATGATACTTCCAGCTTTGTTCTTCTTCCTCAAGATGGCTCTGGCTGTTCAGGGTCTTTTGTGGTTTCATGCATCCATGGTATAGTCTTTCATTTATTTGAGTCCTCTTCCATTCTTTTCCTCTTATAATTTTCAGAGTATTGGCCTTTCACCTCCTTGGTTATGTTTATTCCTACGCATTTTATTCTTTTTGATGAAATTTTGAATGGTATTATTTCTTCATTTCTTCTGATTGTTCATTATTAGTGTATAGGAACATGACAGATTTCTGTATATTAATTTTGTATCCTGATACTTTACTGAATTCTGTTATTATTTCTCTTAAATTTTTGGTGGATTCTTTAGGGTGTTCTATATATAGTATCATGTCATCTGCAACTAGTGACGTATGGAAAGATGCTTAACATCACTAATCATCAGGGAAATACACATCAAAACCATAATCAGACACCACCTCACACTAGTCAGAATGGCTATCATCAAAAGTCAACAAATCACCTGTGTTGGTGAGGATGTGGAGAAAAGGCAAGACTGTGCGCTGTTACTGGGAATAATGATTGGTGCAGCCACTGTGGAAAACAGTATTTGAGATTCCACTTCTGGATATTTATCCAAAGAAAATAAAAACACTAATTCAAAAAATATATTCATCCTATGTTCGTTGCAACATTATTTACAGTAGTCAAGATATGGAAGCAACCTAGCTGTCCATCAATAGATGAATGGATAAAGATGTGATGTAAATGTGTGTGTGTGTATGTATTCCATTGTATACTATATACTAGTATATATATACATATATATAGTATAATATGTATACTATATATTACTATAGTATATATTTAGCAAATATATAGTATATATTTTATACAACAAAATATTACACAGCAATAAAAAAGAATGAAATCTCGCTATTTGCAAAAACATGGATGAATCTAAAGGGTATTATGCCAAGTGAAATAAGTCAGACAGAGAAAGACAAATACCATATGATTTCACTTATATGTAGAATCTTTAAAAACAAACAAACCAGACCCATAGAAACAGAGACCAAAGGAGTGGCTACCAGAAGAGAAGGGGTGACGGAGGGTGAAAGGGGGAAGGGGAGAATATAGTCAATAATACTATGATAAATTCACATGGTGACAGATCAGTACTAGAATTAGTGGGGTGATCACTTTGTAAGGAATAAAAATGTCAAATTGCTGAAACTAATATAACCAATATAAGATTGTATACCAACTATACTTAATTTTTTAAATGTCTTTTATAGACAAAAAAAACCCTGCATTTTCAAAAAACATTTAATGATAGGAAAATACAGTGTTATGCTAAACTGCTTAGTGAAAAATAAAAGAAATTGTTTCATAGTGACAATTTTATAAAAGTATGAACAAATAAATCTAAAGGGCAGAAAGGACTGTGTAGTGGCTTTGCTTGGGGATGACTCTTTTCTTAAAGGGGATTTATGGTTCTGAAATGCCTTCAATGAACAATATTTCTCCTATATACTTTATTGTTATTAATTTTTAGTGATTTTAGTCCAAAGGCTTCTTTAGGAAAGGATCTTCTCTCACCTTTTAGAATTAGATGTACTGAAATAGTTTTGATTATAAATGTTTAACATTCTAATTGGGCAAATTCTATGTTCAGAACTTTTAATCCTTGCAGTTGTAGAAGTGTTGTCTATATGACACATGATTTGGGCCCTTTAGAGGATAGAGATGTACCACAGAAATTTTACCTTCAGCTACAAGTCACAGAATTACCATTTCAGCAACTGCAAAAATATGAGTTCATTTTCCTGACAATTAACTACAAGTAAGTAGTTGCTAGCAAATGGTTCTGCATCTTAAAGCATCAGAACCAGTATTTGTCTGACTCTTTCACTCTGTTTCTCTTTCCTGGCTACAAGACTGCCTCTGATGCTCCAGCTGCAGGAATCACATCGACATTCCAGTCGAGACAGAGGAAACGGGAGGGGCTGCATGGGTGCAAATAAAGCTTTCTAAGAGGCCCCTCCGTCCGGCCCAGGAGACTTTCACTCATATTGCATGGGCCAGAGCTCAGGGCTGGAGGTCTGGGAAAAAGAGCAATTGGCTCTGAGCCTCCCCAGTGGGAAATGGCAATGACGATAGTAATGGGTATGACCTCTGGGTAGTCAGTCAACAGGCCACTGTGAATAGAATACATTCTTGTCATAGTTGATACAATGTATGGCCACAAGTTCACTGTTCAGGTTTGGGAGTTATACACAGTAACTGTATCTAATATGATGAAATTATTTTTTTATGACTCTGGACTATGCCAAATTCTGTCTAAGGAATGAGCACATTAGATGTATTGTATATCTTAGAACTTAATAATTAACAGGAGCTTTCAAATTTTAGAAAACTACTGTGCCTTGTCATTGGCTTATAGACGGTATGGTGCAGACCTCTTCAGTATGGCTCTTCTGCCATGCTACCATTCTTAGCACCAACCCAGACTGCCCTAAGGTAACTACTGTCATCCAAACCATCTCTGTGGTGCCATCTACCCTTCCCAAGGGAGGAAGCCAAATAAACTTATTCACTCAAAAGAAAAAGGATTTGGTTTCCCCACAAGGGTGTCTGCTGCAAGTAACAAGTTGGTTTTAATGTCTAAAACATCAGTTTGAAGAATATCGTAATCTATCCTACAGACAGGAGAGTATTCCTGCCTATTACCTTGCTCAAGTGTCATAATCAATTAATTAAATTGCCTCATGTTACTTTGTCCCTTTAAAGATAAAAATACTAGTAAGTGTTATATAAAATTATTTGCACCCTTTAAAATATCCAAATCATGCTGAATAAAATAAGCTTCTCAGCAGCTCATGCCTAAACTCTTAACCCTTAAAGGTTTACTGTCTTCTGAAGATTACACCATCCTCAGATAGGGCACTCTTATTTTGAAGCAGTGCGCTTACCGGGTTCATTTAGAATGCCTCTTCCAAGGAAATGTTTGGTTTCAGTGACCTGTACAAGACTAGCCATAACAGTAATAGCAGCAGCAGCAAAGTGGTCATGTACATGTCATATTAAAATTGCTAACAAAACAGCACTTTGCTCACTTGAAATTTTTTTATTTATAATGTTCAGATTTCAGGAAGTGGAAAGGTCAAAATGCATTCACTAACCAGCTACAAAATACCACAGAAACCATTATCAATAACTGCCATTAAAATGGGAGGACTGGCAGGAGGGCACCCAGCCTCCAGTCCGTGCAGGCTCCCCTCCCCCTTCCCTGCTTTGTGTGTGGCTGCGACAGCTCCGGAGGACATGCAAGTCCCTAAAAGAAACTCTCTGTGGATGTATTTTTAGAGTTCCAAGCTGAAAGGTTATCAGACAAGAGACGTGAAGCTGGGCGGCCTTGGACCTGACCTTGAGTCTATCAGAGATAAAGTGAGTATGATGTGCGCTCAGTGTTCTCAGGCTTGGATCTGCCTGCCTATCTTTTAGCAAAAATGTATAAGTGCCCCCCTGAACGAAGTCCTAAATCAAATGTCTCACTCTGAGGAGAGACACTTCTGAAATATCACTGGTAATAGAGAACCAGGCTTCCTCTTACCGTAAATAAAATTACTTAGCCAGTGCTGTGTTCGTATCCACCTTTCAGTTTCGAAGGCCCGAGCAGAAAAGTGGGGCGTGTGCGCGGGAAAAGAGCCGTGTGGCTGTGGGTCTTGCCCGTAGAGTTATCTTGCTGATTCTGAACAGTGGCTGCAGGGAAGACACTTAGGGTAAGAGTTTCTCAACCCATGAAAAGTGCATCCACTTGATTCTCTTCCTCCAGTGAAAGGAGATCTTCACTTAATGTGTTTTAACTGCAGTTGCACTCAAGGCATAAAAACAGAGTATAGTTCAAAGTTGGAAGCAAAAATGAAAACAAATTAGGTAAATGCAACAAAGGAGACTGAATGTGATTTAGCCACTGTTAAGGGAACACTGGGTGGGCTACTGTGGTGATGTTCCCCTCAGAGAGACTGCTTTTGGGAGAAATGCCGACTTAGCCACTTCCCTGTCCTCACCTTACATGCGGGAACCCCATTTCCCTGTGCTGCCGGTAGGCTATGCCCTGCTCACCAAGGTTAGTGTCACTTTAAGTGGAAAACAGGGAGATCTAGCAGGACCAGCAAGTCATCATAACTTTGTTTCTCTGAATAGATGCAGAAATTAATACAGCAAAAGGAATATGCAAAACAAGTTAAGGAGTACAACATGAAGACACTATCCATTCTGTCAAAACCACAAACAACAAAAACTGAAAATAAATCTGCCATCTCTCGGCAGAAGGTAAGAAATTCTCACAAAGACAAGCTACCTTTTCGATTAGAATTAAAAAGAAACCTTTGTTACCTCGTAACTTAATGAATTCCCCCCCATTTTCTGAACACGGGATGTTTTGGCTGCACCATTCCTGCAGCTCCCACCATGCACAGACATGGATGCAGAAATGCTACGCACACACATGGCACCACAGGGTCAGCCTTCTGCTTTCCTGACGTCATTCTTGTCTTCATTCATCTGCATGTTTCCTTCTGAGTATAGGATTCCAAGGCTGCCACACAGAACAGTTGAACAATAGGGTGATTTCTTAATCAGGATTGGTAGTTTCTTCTGTCCATTTCTTTCTCTACCATTAAATAAGCCTTAACCTGTTAACCAGGGGATAACCGGGGAATTCCCCTTTCACTGTATGCAACGTTTGACGTATTTATACGTCCCGCTCAGTTAACAGGTTAAGGAAATGCTGGTTTTGTGCTGTTAATGGGTGCCTGTGTCAAAGAAAAATCCTTGGTTCTCTCAAAATCATTCTCCTACATTTTCCCTAAGGAGTTGTAATATATAGCTTCCTCTGTCCAAGAAAAATGATTTCATAAAATACAGAATTCCCCCTCTCAGCCATGGCCATCCAGCTGTAACATGATGGGAACGAACGCAGTTCTGTGGAGACGCGGAGTTCTGAAGTCCCTGCCTCAGGCCCAGTCACAAGGGGCCTTCGCATGAGGGACCAGTGACCCTCTGGGCCCTTAGGAATTCGTACTTCATGTTTTCATTCACAGACCCTCATATTTTTTATTTATTGCCTTTCTTCCTCAGACCTCGAAGATCTCAACCCACTTGAGTTATCATGGTGCCACTTTTCCCCCCTCCAGTCCGTTATTTTTTCATGAAGAGATTCAAGGCAACAAGTCTATAATGAGAAATTCATACAAAGTCACCTGCACATACTGAGAAGTCCAGAATTTTTCTGTTTTGAGGGTACTCTTTTTTCCTTCTAGGACTTAAATATACTATCCATTCTTAGCCATCACGAAATTTTTATTAAAATATAAAACTGATATAAAGGCAGATTGAGATGTCATATTTAGGGATTTTATTTTTATTGTAATGCCTTTTAGAACTGACATCACTCAGAAAAGAAAAAAATACTGCCTTTTTTCAGTATCCAGGTTTATCTAGGTATACTAAAAAATAATAATAATACTCATTTTTAACCTCCAGTAAATATGTGCTGGGCTTCTAAGAGCCCAGGAACAGGAACAGTTGGTGTGATAATGCAGGTGCAGTTTTCTGCAGTGAATCTTGGGTCTAAAGTGGTAACCAGTCCTTTTGGATAGTAAGGTCTGTTACTGTCTTCTTATGACAAGTTTGGTTTCAATAAGACTGCCAGAGCTAAATAAATCAAACACACAAGAAAAATGTTTTCGAAGACTAAATAAAACACTGTTTTATGAAGACAAGATTGGAAGGTACAACCATTTCTCAACTTTTCATAGCTAATCCTTGTGGCTAATTGGTTTTGCTTATACTGAAAGTTACGTGGCATTATTTCCGTCTTCCATTTGCACCCACATCTTAGCACATTATTGTAGCAATACTCTTCACTTACATTGTCAATAAGTGTTTCCTACGAGCAGATTTAATTTAAGGAATCCAGGACTCAGTTCCCATTTTAAATAAAACGTTATCTCTATCTTTCAGGCTTTGGAATATGCTAAGACCATCCCCAAACCCAAACCTTCAAGCCTGCCTGGCCTCACGTCGAAGGAGGAGAAGAGCCGGACCTGCGCTGGGGAAGGAGGCCCGCTGCCTGAGCTCTCGCTGCTGGAGAAGCTGCAGAGCAGGCACGAGAGGGAAAAGCAAGCTGTGGCTGCGTTCAGAGTCCTTCACATTGTGTAGGCTGTGGAGACCCGGCTGCCAGAGACGGGGCGTGGAGAACCCGGCCGACCTCGGGCCGACCTCGCACTGAGTGAGGGCCGTCAGCGTCGTCCAGCTGCGGTCTGCGTTCACGTTGGATGTAGAACATGGGGCCCGGGGACATTGTGCTGCCATGTTTTACTTCCCAGGAAGAAAAATGTTTAATTACTTTCACATCAGTTAAAATTCGGGCTGAATAAGAACTAGGGAATAAAGCCTTTTGGTTTTATGTTGGGTCTTTTGATTTCTTAAACAACCTGTCTCCTTCCTTTGCATAATGAAAACCATAAAATTACCCAGAAATAAGTTTATCAACTTGTGTTTCTCTCTTCTATATTCCTGATAATAAAAAAAGTATAAACACTTCAGTTTTTACTAAGATGAACTCAGATTGGACTAATCACTAGTATATTTTGAGATACCATTTCCAAAATATTTCTAAAATGTTTTAATTGAGCCAAGGGTTTATATAGCACGTTGGGAGAGCCCTGGCCAGAGTGGCTCAGTTAGTTGGAGCATCATTCCACACACCAAAAGGTGGTAGTGGGTTCCCGGGGAGGGCACATGCCAGGTTTGTGGGTTCCATCCCTGGTCGGGGCATAGGGAGGCAACAAATAAATTTTTTAAATTTTTGTTTAATCCCAATAAAAATAAATAAATACAATTGGAAGAAGTGAAAATACATCTAGATGGCCTACTCAAGTAAAACAAATCCCAAGGTTGTTCTAGCAGAGCATCAAGACATTAACTAGAAATCCTCCAAGTCCAGAAATACCCAACTCAGGCAACTCTGAGAGCCCCTTTGTCAGAGTACTTAACTCCAGACTTCTGGTCGAGATGACAGTGTAGGCAAATACGGTACTCAGATCCTCCCACAACCACATCAAAATTATATGCTCTGGCTGGTTTGGCTCAGTGGTTAATGCATCAGCCCATGGACCAAAGAGTCGAGTGTTTGATTCTGGTCAAGGGCACGTACCTCAGTTGCGGTTCAATCCCCAACCCTGGTTAGGGTCATGCTGGAGGCAGCCAGTCGATGTGTCTCTCTCACATTGACGTTTCTCTCCCCCACCCCCCACTCTGTCTGAAGATCAATGAAAAAATATTCTCAGGTGAGAATTTTAAAGGGAAAAATTACAACCAAACTGCAAAACAACCATCATTAGAACCACTTGAAATCTAGCTGAACGGAAGTCCTACAACTAGAGATTTGAGGAAGCCACATTGAGACTGGCAGGAGGGGCAGAGATGTGGAATGGGCTGGTCCCAAACCCATGTGTGGTAGTTTAAAATCAGGAGGGCCCTGGTCAGGTAGCTCAGTTGGTTAGAGCATCATCCCCACACACCAAAGTTGCAGGTTTCATTCCCAAAGCATACACAAGAATCAACCAATGAATGCATGAATAAGTGAAGCAACGAACTGATGGCTCTCTCTCTTTCTCTCTCTCTCAAAAGATCAATCAATAAAAAAAATTTCAATAAAATTGGGAGAGCTATCCCAGCTGTGGAAGTTCCCCCTGAGGAGTGATGGTTCCCAGCTCCACACCAGGACCCCCAAGCCCAGGGTCCAGAGGCAGAAAGAGAAGTCTCTATAACTTCTGGCTGTAGAAACCAGCAGGGATTGAGGCTGAGGGAGACAGAGGCTTCTAGAGTCCCAGGCAGCTCCTCATAAAGGGCCCGCACATGGACTTACTCAGACTCTCCCCCTCTAAGCAGCAGTGTGGGGACAGCAGCTTGAAAGGAACCAGGGACATACAGGGAGGAACTGAATTGTCTGGCATCAGGGCGAGAGCTGGGGGGCAGCTTTCTGCCAGACACAAGTTCCAGCAGAGGCCATTGTTCCTTTTCTGAGACCAACCTCCCCCTGCCCCCACCCCCACCCCCAGAGCTGGCAGGTGGGCACCATATACGAGTTTCCATCAGTCAGGCTCACACTGTTTGCCCCATTCTGCTGAGTCCCTGAGATCTGTCCCACCCAACTCGTGGGCCCACCCAAGCCATTTCCAAAGGCTTTTCCATACAATGCCCACTCTTTTTTATTTTTTGTTTGTTTGTTTTTTCCTTTATTGATATTAGAGAGAGAGAGAGGAAGGGGGAGGGAGAGAGAGATAGAAACACCAATTGGCCCCCCACTGGGGATCAGCCCCACAACCTGGGCATGTGCCCTGACTGGGAATTGAACCAGCGACCTGTTGGTTCATGGGTCGACACACAACCACTGAGCCACACTGGCTGGGCATACAATGGCCTCTTTTGCCCCATGCTTCAGACTTCCCTAAAATCTCTCAAACAAGCAGCATCTGACCTCTGCGTACCCCATACCTCTTGCTAAGTGGTCCTAGGCCCAGCATTAGCAGTAGCTGGCCTTGGTTCACAGCTTGGCATCTCCTGGGCACCTCCAAGCACAGCACAAGAAGCAGCCATCTGCAGATCACTCAGTAGCTTGTGCCAGGAAGCCCCAGGCCGGGCACAGGCAGGGCCTGGCCTTGCACCTCCCCAGAGGCCCCAGAGCCAGAGTACCCGGTAGTCAGCTTCAGACCACACCGGACTACAGCCTTTCCTCCTCCCCGAGCAACACACTCCAGGGGCAGACTCGGTGAGCGCCAAAGCCCCCCTGAAGCAAGTCTGCTCCACAGGGTCGGCTCCTGCACAGCAGCTGCTCCACTGCAGTCACAGCTGGTCCTCACAGCCTAGTGGCCTGGAGGCCAGTCCCTCCCAGTGATGCTAACAGCAATCAAGGCTCAACGACAGGACAGTGCACACAGTCCACACAGGGGCATCTGGAGCACCCAAGGCCCCTCTACCAAGTCGGGGAGACACAGCAGCTCTAATACATAGAAGCAAACACAGGGAAGCAGACAAAATGTGGAGACAAAGATAAACTAACTAAAATAAATGATTTACAGGGAATCAACAGAGTAGATGAAGCTGAGTATCAAATCAGTGATTTGGAAAATAAAAAACAAAACAAAAAAACAACACCCAATTAGAGCAATAAAAAGAAAAAAGAATTATAAAAAATGAGTATAATAGCCTGGTCAGTGTGGCTCAGTGGTTGAGCATTGACCCATGCACCAAGAGTTCACCAATTTGATTCCTGATCAGGACACATGCCCAGATTGTGGGCCATATCCCCAGTGGGGGACATGCAGGAGGGGGCCAATTGATGCTCTCTCTCATCAATGTTTCTATCTCTTTCTCCCTCTTCCTTCTTCTCTCTCTAAAATCAATAAAGAAAAAAATTTATAAAAATAAGTATAATAGATACAGAGAAATTTTGCTGGTTGCCAGATGGGAGGGGGATTGTGGGGATGGATGAAAAAGGTGAAGGAATTAAGAAGTACAAATTGGTTGTTACAAAATGGTCATAGAGATGTTAAGTACAGCACGGGGAAGATGGTCAATAATGTTCCAGTAACTATGCACGCTGTCAGATGGGTACAAGATTTACCTGGATGATCACTTAGTAAGTTATATAATGCCTAATCACCTGAATCTAATATAATATTTTATGTCAACTGAATTGAAAAATAAAACATGATCTTTTTAAAAAGCTACTTACTCAAGTATTTAAATTTGCTATCATCACAAAGATCTTAAAATATATCAAATGTGTATTTTACATAAAAATAATATTAGGTAAGACAAAAGCATTCCATAGTTTACTACTGAATGTTAATAAATATTTTGTACTTTTTAAAACCTTTTGAAATTGAATGAACATTATAAAATTCCCAGTTCGTAAAATGATTCTAGATGATTTAAGTTTGTTTTTTACTTATTTGTATTAGATTATCCTTAGATAGTCATACCCATAAATGGACAATTTTAACAATACTTTAAAACAGATCTATTTATCTATACAAGCAGCAGAAAGACTAACTTTGGAAATTTACTCCTATGTTGTATACATTTTACATAAGCCATGATGTGGTGTGAAATCTGCCTGTACTTAACTTTCTCTTAAAACTGGAAGGAATTAGAATTGCAAGTCTGGAAAGATAACAAATATCTGAAGATAAATAGTAAACTGACAAGTCATGTTTCCGTGGTATTTAGAAAAGCATGTCATACATAAGGAGTTCAGAAAAATCATAGCTCAAGTGGTTCCTAAAACATATTTGCAAAAGAAGAGGAACCGTCAGGGTACAAGGCGAAGACTTCTAAGAAACATGACAGGAAATGATTGTTTATAGCCTTAAATTTAAATTTACTCTGGAAAATAATGCATATAGAGACACTTCCATATTTCCATATTAAAGGGACAGGATAAAATTTTTAAATAATTCATTTCTAGTAGAGTATCTTAAAATAACTTAGAGCTTGGAACAGGTGTATCATGTTCAACTGCCAATCTGAAGAGGAGACTGAGACCAGAGAGTCCGACTGAAGCCGCGGGAGGGCAGCCAGGTCTGAGCGCCAGTCCTTCCCCACGAAGGAGCACCGTCGGAGTACTTGTTTCGGGAAGAAGTAGTTCTTGTTTTACTGTGTGAGCAAGGAGCATGTAGCTGATCGGAATTTCCCTTTTAGACCTGAGTTTCCATAAGTAAGTCCAACATTCAGAAATATGCATTACTACGTACCTCATATATTTTTATCATGGACAATCTGGCAAGTTCATTACTACACTGATAAAGTTTAAGAGACATGTATAAAGAAACTCAGATGTTGACCAGTAAAAGAGATACTATTTCTCCCTAGCTGGTTTTGCTCAGTGGTTAGAGCGTCAACCTAGGACCAAAGAGTAGCGGGTTCGATTCCAGACAAGAGCATGTGGTTCATCCCCAGCCCTGGTCCAGGTCATGCAGGAGGCAACCAGTGGATGTGTCCCTCTCATGCTGATGTTTCTCTCTCCCTCTCTCTCACTCTATCTGAAGACATTGTAAATATATATATCTCTCCTCGGTTGTGGATTAAAAAAAAAAAAAGATATTATTTCAATTTTTTTCCCAGAACTTTTAAATATCTTCCCATAACCATTT